CAACGGCACCAGCACAGCAAATCTGGCGTTTCCCCATTTGCCCTGCCAGCGAGCCAGAAGCCTGTACCAAGTGGACTGCAAACATCAATCCAATTTCTGTCTCCTGGCTCTATTTAAGTCTAGATTTGGCACTCCATATACCATGAGATTACTCTGACCTGAAACCTGCTCTCAGCATGTCTGGACAATTTTTCTGATCAGAGTTACATGCTATGTATCTATTTGTGTTTATTTTTTTAAGTGTGCTATGCTTAGGAAATAGGTTGGACCAGACATTTCTGGAACCTCTGCAGCAATCTGTTATTAATGATACAGAGAAGTACAAGAAAAAGAGCTTCTTATCCCCATGAACAGCAAGAGCAGAAACAGACGATGGCAGTTTCCCAATTCTCTTGTCAAGAGAATTAGGTGCAATTCTCTGTGTGTTACTGTGGTAAATTAGGGACAAAACCCACTTGATTTTTGGCAATGCAGTTTTCTTTAGAGGTCAGTTTAAACACTGACCAATTGCAGATGCCCCATTTTGGGGCCTGAGGAGCACGTCAGGATGCTCTGCACAGCACAGAATGAGGTACTCACTAGGCACTCTCTCTGCATAGTATTCCTCTGTAGGTGCTCTCCTTGCAGAGCTTTCTCTTAGCAGTGACTGAGCAACAGGGCAGTCAGCAGTTTGGGGCCCCAGGCTCTCCGTGTTCCCAGCATTCTTGATTAAAGGGAGGTAACAAGGAAGACATCATCCCTATTTTCCACATTACTATGCCTTGGGATCTATACTCCATTTCAACACAAATCTCCCAGAACATTTTTTCTGCTGACAGTGAGAGGAAAAGCAGAACAGTGAACAAAATGCCTTTCAGAGCCCTGGCCCCAGCCTCACCCCACAAACTCAGGGAGCCTTGTTGGGGATTGGGGTCCTGCTTTCCTAATCCCCAGGGAACTTGCTTTGTCCCTGTCTCACATAGTCTCTTACAAACACAGGCACTACACTGTGCTCTTAGCCTGGCCACAGAGATAGCAAGAGAAACACTGGTCAGTAAATTTGACTCATATCAGGTCAAATCCAAATTACCTCTTGACAATACTGCCTAAGAAGCTCATAAAACAATGTGTCTGCTTGTTATATGACTTGGACAAACAGCATCAACCTTTATCTACAAGAACGTTTGCTTACTGAGTGAAAAAAGAAAACCACAAAATATAAAGTAACATACCACAAGTCTTTAATTTCTGATGGACCTTTAAGTTCCTCCTATTTTCAGACTTTTAGGAATGCTCCTTAATGTGTCAACTTAAAACATCAGCCACTGAAATCCTTACTCTGTGAAGCAAAGCTACCCCTTTGATTTGATTTGCAGAATGGCCTCACAAGTCAACATAATTCTGATTCCCCTGCTGATAGCAGCAACACAGCCGACGTCTGGCTGAAATGAAGTAATGAACACAACAGACATTGCTTATTAAAGAATCAAATAAAACTCTGAATACATCAATCAAAAATAGCATACAACCAATATTTTCTGGCAATCCAGAGCTGGGAGATGAAGAGGGAAGCACAAACCCAGGCTCAAACAGTAGGTTACTTAGGGCAGCAATTGTCATTTTTGTTTTATGGGTCTGCAATGTCTCAGCAGAGCCCCAACCCTGATGGGGGCCATTAAGCAATACTTCAGCATAAAGAGAAATTAAATGAGTAACGCCCCGCAAGATACTCCTGCACACAAGGTATTGTCAGACAAGTTTTATGTAGTGCTTTATAAACGCCAGTTGACTTCAGCAAGAATCAAGGGCATGCAGCATTTTGTGAGGAGGGTGCAGTCACTTAAAGCATTTCTCTCTATCTGCAGTAATCAAAACAAGTTATAGCCAGGCTACAACTATATGTCTAGTTTGAAGACTGCTTGTCTGTGTGAGACAGAACCATCTGGATTTACTTTACAGTTAACTTTAAAATATATATATCAGATTTCTCAACTTTTGCCAAACAACTGGAAACATAATGGTTTCTGCATGCTGTTAGCATCTCACTACAGCTGCAAATGTCCATTAGGACAATCTTATATAATTATATACTTATTCTTCCCATGAAATTGTTAAAAACCCAGCTTTTCCAAATAAGAGCATATTTTGTAGCAAAGAGGAAATCTTCCAGTTCACCAGGTTGGAATGGGGGAGGGAAGTCTTCTAAAGCAGAACTTTACTCAAAGCTTTTTCTTTAACATAAAAATTACAAGTCTTAGTGTGTCAGATTTTTTCAACTTTACCTCTAGTGTGCTCCAGCCAGAAATCTACAATTTCTTTCCCTTTTCCTTTCCTTTGTGGAAGAAGTTCATTCCTTCTAAGATTATTTTTCCAAAGAAAAAAAGCAGTTTTTTTCCCCCCATTTTTTCAACTCTTCCCTCTGGATGGTACTTTAGTTCTCATCTTTCCCACAGTTCCATACTCTTGTTCAACAGAAAGTGTCAGTGGCACCTGGTGCCACTGGGTGACTGCCCTTGGGAGCTGATCCCCAACAGCAGGGATCGGCACACAGAACATGAGCAGGCTGGAGGCAGGCAAGGCTGCAGGAATGGGGGGTGATCTGTGTGTTCAAAGCACCATCATCAGTTTTGCTACAATTTTCAGAAATTACCAATAACACAGCACACGTCAGTTTTTAGGAATCCAAGGTAACAATTCAACTTTCCAGAGGGCAGGTGCTTTACCTCTTCCAAAATGAGAGCCTTCCTGCTGTGTTTTCTATGTGTCCAGGCACAAAGCACTCCAAGTCATTGGCCACTCTCAAAACATCTCAGCAGCTCAGATTTTTTAGTTAACAAAAACAAAACCAATGGAAACACAAACAACTATTCCTAAACATTGGACACAATCCTGTGCAACGTGCTCTGCGATGACCTTGCCAGAACAGGGAGATTGGACCAGATGACCACTGTGGTTCTTCCAATCTTACCTATTCTTTTCCAGGAGGTGACTAACCTTTCTGCACGTATTCTCAGGACCCTACAAAGAGAAGGGAACAAGGTCTCATATTGTTTTGACAGCCATTCAGACAGAAAACCACTTCTTTTTCAGTTGCCTGCCTGAAAATAAATACCACAAAATGCTGTAATACTATTGACCTCATCAGAAAGACAACCTTGGTCAGAGACAAGCAACAGACCACTGCCCACCCTCGGGGCACACAGACCTCGCAGAGCAGCCTCCTCTCACCAGCACTGCCAGTCTGCTGGATCATCTTACCCATGTTACCCATACTGGGTCACCTGCAAGGATAAAGATAAAGCAACTACTGCTAGTTTCTGTTATTTGGGTTCTGTATCTCATCCTCCACAAAGTTTCTCTGTTATCAGTATAGAAATAATTTGCACAACAACTTTACAAGTTATCTTAGAAAGCACAGCAGGTTTCTAGCATCCAAGCTCTTTCTCATTTTAACAGTGACTATCTGAATAATTGGCAGGGAGGAGCTTGGCTGCTCTGTAATGCAGAAACTTGGCTAGAGCGATGCTGTTAGCATGAAACAGCAGCAGATCCAATGCCCAGAACTTGAACTGAAACTGTTTGTTATTACTTCACATCTGTACTGCAGCATTAGCCACAGGCCATGACCAAGTCTGGCCCTGGTCCTTCTGGGATGAACTTCTATATTTTAAACAGACAGGGGATGACAAAGGTGATTGAAAGGATTTAATGCAACATTAAAAATAACTGACAGAGTCAGGAATTTGTGTCTCACTGAAAATTAATGGCAACTACCATAGGACTCGGGTACTTCAGAAAAAAATGGTCAGGCATCCTGAAACCTTGGTAGGGCACAGGCATTTGCAGTCACAGAAGACTCTGTTCTTGCAAGAAATGAAAAAAGTTCCACAAGAGGTTTCTATCAATAACTGGCTGCTTTTTGCAGGCACTGGTGCAACAGTAGAGAGCACTGTGAGGCAGAAAGATAGGCAAGCAGTGATTGCAGGTCTGCTCAGAGATATCATTCCCAGGATGGTCAATTCAACAGAACCAAAAAGGTCCAGGGACCAAAGGGCTGCTTCCAGTATCACACACTTGCCCTGACTGGTTTCTTCGCCTCTTTTTCCCACTCTCAGGCAGAAGGCAAAGATCTGAAGAGGTTATTTTAAGAAATATCAATACTCACATGACAGCTGGATCTTAGACGCAAGCCTAGCTCCAGCAGCACCAAAATCTCCTCCTAATGCTGTGGTTCCGGTTGCAGCTCTGAGGGAGGGTTTGCTGCAGAACAAATGCCCAGGCAGAGGATGTCATGTGTGATCCCCAAGCCCTTCAGGCCTGTGGCCATGAAGGTCACAGCAGATGAAGTACTGGAGTGGAAGAGGTGTGGCTCTGACACCAGGGGACCCAGCTTTGATCTTTGATGAACCTGGCTGTGATTCACCAGAAGAAGTTTCAGGCTTTCTTCAGCAGGAAGTCATGGAGCTCTTTAGGGAAGTAGAGAATTTTTCAATGGCTGGAGGGTGTGCCTCTGCCTTTTTTTGGCAAGCTGTCACCAGAACTGAGCCATGCTGAGCACCTTGTTGCTCTCAGCAAAGAAAGGCATTTCATAAGTTAGATGGGTACTGGAAGTGTTGGCACTGGAGAAAACCAAAACAAGAAGTAGGGGAAGATGGCTTTCTGGTGGAGCTCAGGCAAGAGAAAAGGACCTTGTCAGGATGCCACCTCTCCCACTGCCCATTGCTGTGCCAGTGCCAAGTCACTTGTGCACAGCATGACAGGAAACAACAGTGCAATGCTCCTTACCCATATGCAGCAGTAAACATCGCATCGGCCTTGACAAGGGGACAACATCAAAGATTATATTTGTTATATTATAGTCAACATGCAGGCATCATGTTATCTTAGTCACACCAAGACTAGGTAACTAAACTGCCAGGTTTAATGTTTCAGGTCACATCAGGGAATAGTTTTACCAGCAGATGTAAAGATCGTCATTTGGAGTGGGCAGCACTCAAGGTCAGAGTCAGCAAATCCTCCTCTAAAAATAGACTCTACTTGCACAGTTAGTGAGGCTTCTTTTGTCGTTCTGCTGCACTTCACAGGACCCAGTTACTTACTGCACCCACCTAAGCATACAGGTAAGGCTAAGCAATTTGCATTTCCTGCTATACTTCTGCTCCTTTTTCCTTCCTTTTGTAACCTGGTTTAGTAAAGCAGGGACTTAGTAAAGCAGTCCAAGAACTGGAAAACTTGCCGAGGTAACTATTAATTTCATTAGCTTGTTGCAGAGAAAAAAAAATTAATTATTACAGATTCAAAAAGGTTTTGAAAGTATAATGTATAATTTTAAAAAATTTAGAAAACCAAACTTGTTGTGTTACAGAAATCACTTTATAAATTAGGAAATTAGGTGCAGAAAGCATAATTATCTTGGAGATAATTTCATTGTAAAAGTTAGGGAATGAAAATGAAATTTTTAAAGACTTTAATATCTGTCCCAGAATATTTTGCTTATTCTTCAGTAATTGCTCCACCCTCTAGTCAAATCTAGCTTTTCCAATTGAATTAAAAATCTCTCAGATGATGCTGTGTTTTAAGTTTCCTTGGACATTCTAATAATGTTTAATAAAATCTCAGCTTAATCTGTTTTCAATTAACCAGTCCACTCAACAATAAAGAATGAGGGCAAAAATAAGTTTTTAAAAAGTCATATGTGGCTTAGAAATTCATTGAAATAACTGGTTAGTTTTGAATATTCACAGCAGGAGGTTCTGGGAAATAATTGCACAGAGGCTACAATTATTCTGGTTTTAAGCTATTTAAAGATGACTGCAATAGATGAACTATTATATAGTCCATGAATGCTTTAAGCATAAGAATGCAGGGCTTAAATAAAGGAACTGAAGTAAATGAATTTTGGTGAAGACTTGGACCAGGAATAGGGAACACAGGATTGTACTTTTTCCCTAAGTATCCTGCAAATCCAGTTTTGGAATTTGGTAAATTCTTTTTGGGGTATTTCAGAAAAATATTTTTGAAAGACTTCGCCATCACAAGAAGTATTTGTAAAAAAGTAACCTTTTTGGCCTAGTGTTAGGGAAAAAATCCCCAACAGAACAAAGCAAGACATAACCCCACCCAAGGAGCTTTTGCCACAGCTCGTTGCAGTGCCTGGGGTGTAACAAGTGTGAGGTTACAGGGGAAGCACACAGCTCTTCATGGCTGCTGCCAGCCTTCCCAGTCTGAGCAAAACAGCATGGGGTGCTGTATCAGGGAGCACCACTCTCAATGCATTGCATTAAATCATCTGACAGAGCAAGCTTTTGTCACTGCAGTGACCAGCTCTCAGCTCAGCTGATGTACTTGGAGTTACAAAAAGCTTAGAAACCAAAACACTGTTTACCCTCCGCCCAAGTGCAAACACTCTGCTCCAGACATGTGCATTGGCTTCTGCAGGAACTTTCCAGTTTATAAAACAGCCCTCTGCTTAGTCATACTCAAAAAGGGCAAGCACTTTTTCACCCTGAAGGGAGGTATGTGTCTGGCATGTGGGCTGGAAATGGAAGAACAGAACATTTCTTAAAAATTCAAGAACTTGCTGAGTCGATCCTCCCTCACTGTTTCTGTAGATTCTCAGTCACTAGATCTGATTTTTTTTTCTGAATTCAGCACTGAGCTTACTTGAAGACTGGTTACTAAACTAGATTCAAGTCTTCTGCACGTTTTTTGAAAGTGTAGAACTGGTGTAGGTATTCTCCATCCTTACCTTCTCTTGGCTCCTTCCCTCTTGTACACACTTGTTACAAACATTGTTCCTCTGTGACTTCTTACCTAAGGTGGTTATTAAACTGAAGGAAGGAAGTAAGTAAATATAAAACCATTAGTTTTGCAGTTGTCTGTAAGGCAAAGTCTCAGTTTTTACTCCCAGGAGAGTAGAAGTCCAACAACTTCAATGGTGTTAAATTCTGCCTGATAAATAAAAACATTCAAATAAGTCTGCCCTGTATCCAAGATCAGAAAAGAAAATAGAGTACTTTCTTAGTAACAAGTTCTTCATGCACAGAAATGATTTCTCAATCAAAGTTCAGGATTTTGTTCCTCTTTTTTGTTCTTCTGCTGGATTTAGTGTTCATGGCAGTAGATTAACTACTTTAATTCCCATGTTTGAGGGTGAAACTCCCAAATAATTTCAAGGGCACTGTGTTTATCTCCTGTTGCACTGGGGTGGGTATAAAGCCCTGTAGCTATGTCATTACTTTTGTGGAATCCTCATCAAAAGCTCAGCACTAATAGGTATTTCTCTTTGCTTCCCTTGGCATCTGGGAAAAGACTTCTGGTGATATCACAGTTCCACTCCTTTTTCAGAGCTGACAACAGGTAGGAGGGAAATCTGAAAGCATCAGAACACAAATAAGATTAAAATCTGCCTCCACATTTACAAACAGGTTGTATATTTAGGTGTTTGCTAAATGCTAAAAACTTTCACTTCTCAGCTAAACCAGGTGAATTTGTGATAGTCTGGTATTTTCAGGGAGAAGTTGCTTTTAGACAGCTCTGAGTACAAAACCAAGGCTTGTACACATATGCACATCAAATTAAATTTAATAAAGCCAGCATCAAAATCACCACTAGCATGAGTGATCAATGTCACAAGAGCTGTGAGAACTTCCAAGAGCAGGACACATGGTCAAAGAATACAAACTATTCTGCTGTATAAATATGGACTGAAGTGGGCACTAAGGCAAGGAAACCCTGTGCCCTGCATGACAGAACAGCTAATACTTCTAAAGAAAAGAGTAAGGAAAATTGTCTTGTCTCCATTTTTCTTCCCAGTTTTTACTTGTTTAGCCTCTCCCATTGCATTTTTATGCCAAGGCCACCAGGCTCTGACTTTATTGAAGATCTGAAGCTTCAGGCAGACAAATACAGCTGCAAGTTGGCAGCAGAGTACCTATGGTGGGGACAACAGCAGTGATGGAGGAACCCCTTGTGCCAGGGAGGGGTTCAGAAAAGGAAAGGATATATAGGCCCTTGCACAGAAACAAGGCAAATGCAGCCCTTGCCTGTGCACGCCTGATTTTTTTTCATATTAACTCTCTACAGCTGACTTGGATCCTAACTCCCAGGCCTAAATCTTGCCAAATTGTTTGGCATCTTTATACACAGCACTAGGTCTTGCACAGCACGTTGAGCAGAAAATATTAATATTAAGAAACACAGTATTTTGTAATGTATCTAATGACTTAGAGCTTTCAGTCTCAAAGTACTCAGAAACTCCCACTACACATGGAAAACCAGCATTAGAAATGTACACAGCACCACCAAGGCTCTGATGTTCACATCTAGACAAAAAGCTGAGTTTTCCTCCCCCATCTATGGGAATACCAAACTGTAGAGCTCATGACTGACATTTCCAAAAGCATTAACTCACCCCTACACACTTTGTGGTGGGACTGGACATCCCTTCAATTGAACAGATTTGAAAATGGGCCACTACATTCTATGACTTCATAGGGCCTTACTGGGAATTTTGGGTTAATTTGAGTAGTTCAAGGGACTCCAAACATGGTGCAGAAGGCAAATCTTTCACTGCCATATTGGTGCTCCAGCCACTAGACTGTGTGCTCTGTCATGGTCTGAATTAAACAGCAGATAGACTGGCAGATTTGTTTCTTTTTTTTTTTCCCTTGCACTTTATTTTCTCCCTCCCTGCTTTGTTAAAAATAAAATAAGCTAAAGAGCTGTATAAGAAATTCCATCTGGCAGCTGTAGAGGAGATAGCGAACATAAAGAAGAGATTCCTTTGCTGTGCCTAATGCATGCTGCTTATCCAAATTAGCCACACAATTACTTCTATCAATGCAAAACTAGTTCAATGTTTTTTTCCTAGTGCACAGCACTTGAGAATGACTTAAAATGCAGTGTAATTTGCCACAGTGTATGTCCTGAAGTGGCTCACTAATGAAAAGAGGATTAACTCTCCATTATTCTGAATTACCATTTTGTGAAATCACTAACAATATTTTCATTTATATACATATAACCCAAGGGGGACAAATATTCCATCCGTCCAAGCGATTAACAAATAAAATTTATTAGATAACATGCACTTTGGTCTTATTTATGAAGAGAAAGATTAGGGTATAAAAATGCAGATGACTGGATTTTTATCATCCTTGTTCTGATAATACCCTTAAGTCCATGACAGCAGAAGTGGGGAGCAGTTCAGTGTTGTGTGCACACTGCAGTGAGGGCAGAACCCGTGGGATGCCGGACCCAGCAGGCAGGCACAGTCTCACAGGGTCACCTTCAGCACCTCTGGGGCCCCACTGAGCTGCGCCCCACACCCAGCTCTGGCACAGAGAGGCATCAGGGAGGTCCCACCAGCTCACACAGCCTGCCCTTGGCACAGGCCAGCAGAATGAGAGGGAAGCTGTGCTCTGGGCACAGGGAAAGCATGGGATGAGCTACAGACTGCCCTGCCTCTCTGGGAGGGAACTCCTGGCCTCAGATACAGGGCTCTGTTCCTCAGTATGCCCTGAAGCTGGGCTCAGACCCTCCTGCTGGGGAGAGCCCTCTGGGACAAGGGCAGGTCCACAAACAGTTGACTTTTCATCACTCCCCCAGGAAATAAAAAGGCTGTCCTGAAGCAGCATTTCCAGGAGCAGGCAAGGTGCAGAGTTCTTTATGGACATTAGGACAGTCCCTACTCCAGAGAGTTTCCACATGACCCTGGGATTAGCTCTGTTGGTCAGAGCAAGGTGCTAATAATGCCAGGCTCACAATCTCCATGTGGGCCCTTCACTTACAATGATTCTTGTGGGTCCCTTCCAAGTCAGGCTGTTCTGTGATCTAAGGTTGTGTGTCCCCACACAGTGCAGTGCCATGAGGTGACTGCCAAGCTAGCACAGCACTGGTACATCATCCAGCCTTGCACTAACTCATCTACAGCCCACACGAAGCACCACAAGGGGCGGGAGCCTGCTCCAACAAGCCTGTGCAGAGGTAACCCTGCAATCTGGCTGCCATCTGACTGCACTGGGTGAGCGCTCTGCAAGACATGGTCTCCTCTCCACACAAGACTGCCAGAGAAATCTGAGATTTCCCTGCCTGGGTTTGTGCTAAACATTCATCTCCTATACCCACAACAGCATTAAGAACAACCACGCAAAAAAAACCTAATCTACTTTTCACTCTTTATTCCAAGAGGGCTGGCCTAGGGAATAGCCTTCCTGGAGCTCTGTTTGGTGTATGTAGAAAAACTAATACGAGATGGGGTTAGGCATCTTTGATTCCTGGGAAGATGCAAGCCCTTCTGCCCCCAACCAAATGCTTCATGGCAATTATTTCCAGAGCTGAAATAGCAAACCAGCCCTTTTGCCCCCTTTTCCCTCCTCCTAGTTCAACTCTGTTACTTCTTACATAGTCTAGAGTCAAATCTGAAATACATGTTTTATTAGAGGAATTTCAACTAATGCTTTCCTGTGCTCTAATTCAATTTAAAAATCCCTGCAGCAGATAACATTGGCAAGGCATAAAAGAACATAGCGTACTTGAAAGTTCAGGGAGCATGTGGCTTCCCAGGACAGACAGCAACAAGGATTTCTCAGCAGTGGTCGAGCTTTCAGAGTGTTAACCAAGCTCAAACTGTGCCGGTGTTCCAGTACCACAAACGATCATTTGCAGATGTAATTGCCCTGTTCTGAGGTGTAACAAATCAATGCACTGTGGCCACCAACTGTGATTACTGATTACATTGTGCTTTCTCTTCTTCCTTTCCTCCATCCCATGTTATGGAGCCATGAATAAAAGTAGTCAGTCCTTCAGCATCATGGCAACAGGCTCTCAGTTATAATTCCTTACTAGACAAATAGCAGTTCTTATCAATTCCTAGATAACAGCCTAATCACTCCCCAAGTCAGACTGACTTAGATTTGTATCTCTGTAGACAAACATTATCTACACTGCTGAGTCTGCATGTGCAATTAGCATCATTCTGGCACAAGAAGCAAAAAGGCTCTCCCAGAGCATGGCTACTGGGGCAGATAGATGGGACTTGGTACTACACATAAGCATGCAAGACAAGCCCAAAGAAAATTTACTACAAGCTGGAATTCTCAGAGCCCTTTAAAAATCTCAAGAGAGGACCACTTAGCTAAACATCATCATCATGTTTTAAGAAGCTTGGCTGAAAGATAAATCCCCTTGCCAGTGAAAGCAAGCCAATTTTTGAACAAAGGTGTACACTTGCCAGTCAAAAACAGACTCCACAATCTTACACAGCTTTGGAGTAGGAAAACAGCAATCATTTGGCTTTTTCAAGCTTTGTAGAGAAACAGAACATGACAGGCACAAAAGAGCCCAAACTGAGCAAACAAACCCCATGGGTACTTGGGATGTCAGTGAAAAATGGACATCCTGCTTTCAGCTCGACAATAGCCACATGAAAGCACTAGCCAGATTTTTTGAATTAAAAGGACACAAACATTCAGCAGCCAACAGACACACACACACAAAAAAAAAAAAAAATTGGGAGCAACTACAGGATTCATTGCCTGCAAGAAAGGTGGATTTTTGGCAGGCTCTACTTGCACACTTCATAAGATCAAGCCCAACTCCACATCTTGTTACAAGTCTCTTACAGAGCCACAAGGTTCAGTTTATCCCTTCAAGGGAATAAGACATGAACAACTGCTACTCTAAGACACCAGAGAGCCCAGAAGAAGAAATAAAAACAAAGCCCACAGGGAGATGCAGCAAACAGGGAATCTGCAGCTGGCAACATTGGAAAATAAGAGTAGAAGAGAGTACAACAGTACACACAACATTCACCCGAACAGACACATTTCCTCTCCCTATGTTGCTGAAAATCACAAAGGATGAGCTTTTAGGAGGGCCTTAGTTAATGACAAAAAAACCCCAACAACTTAAATTTGCACTCAGTTCCCCTAGGTGCTTTAGATCCCTAGGCTGTTAGACCTACCAAATTCTTGCCAGTAGATTTTTCAGGAAACAAAATCCAGATAGACACTGAACTTCAATAATCTCAAACCTCTGAGTTTTGTTTCCTTTGCTGGTGAGCTCATCCAACAACATATTCCTCACCTCACGCTGGGGAGGCAGAAATCCATGTGTAAGTCTGTGTTTGCCACAGAACAGGTACATCTGTCTCAAGCAATGCTCAATCCCACCCGGTCAGTGCTCCCAGGATGCCACAGTGAGCAGGAGTCACTGGCTTTGTGCTCCCTTGGGTTAATGTTCTGTTTTGGTTGCCTTCCAGTTTCTCACACATCCTGAGAGCGCCACTTCATGGACAAGATGTCATCAGGAAGCTGGAATGCTGGGAAGAAAAATGCATATACAGCAGTCAAAGTAGATCCTGATGAGGATTATTGTACCCCAGGGGCATTTGAACTGGAGAGGCTCTTGTGGAAGGGCTGCCCACAGTACACTCATGTCAATGAAGTCTGGCCCAACCTCTACATAGGAGACGAGTAAGTGTTCACAGTACCCCCTGTGTTACAACTAAGTGTATCTACTACACCTCCTCTACACAGGAGAGACCAAGCTCTTCTAAACACAGCTCACTGACAGAGCAAAGTGTTTGAAACCACTGACAGATGTCAGAGCCTGGCATGGCCCTGGCTGTCACTGCTGCTTCAGGAAAGAGCAGAGGAAGTGCAGCCGGATCTGCTGGTAAAGACAGAGTGACAGCGCTGGTTTTAAAGACAGAGTGACAGCGCTGGTTTTAAAGACAGAGTGACAGCGCTGGTTGCAGCACCAGTGTAGGCTGCAGAGGTTGAAGCTCGTTGTGATCTATTTTTAAATGGTTAGTTTCAAGGAGCAATTTGTTATTTATCTCTGAGTGAAAGGTGTTCCACAGTTACAGAGCATGGCCTGGATGTGTTTGCCACACCTTAGGTTGGTTTAGGCCTAAAATGTAATTCTTGAAAAGTGTCTCAAGAGACAGCTCACCCTGCAGTAGTATTTCTGCATTTCCAAGCCTGTGCTTGTGGACATAGAACACTTTGCATTTCCAGATGGCTCAAGAGATTAAAGCAAACAGAACCTTGAGGAAGGCAAAGCTACAGAGATGTGTCTCATTGATCTGACCAAGTGTGATTTAGAAAAAAAAACCAAACCCACAAAACAGACTTAGTCCTGCTGAGCAGAGGACTAAACTAGAAGCAGTCTATTCCACGAAGCAGAGAAGACTGCTGCAGCAGGAGACATGCCATCAGAAAATCCCCCAGCCCAAGCCCTGAGCAGAGCAAGAGAGCCTTTCTTATCCCTTTGCCATTATTGGTCCAATTCCCATTTTCCTCTACACCCTGCACTAACATGACATATATTTTTACATCATCACTGAAAGACACAAGTAGGAGCCCCAGTGGCTCCAAAGTTCTCAATAATTTTTTAAAAGGTCCTAAAATGCATCTGTTGCCAGCTTATAAAAGAGGAAAGATATACAGCTTTGAAAGTTACAAGGCTCCTAATATCATCCACCAATTACTTCTGTGGTGCCAGAGGCAACAGAAAGACACAAGAGTTCTGGTCTTGTACCCAGCCAAGGCTCCCACTTTTAGAGACAGGGATGGGAGAGAGAGTGTGTGTGTGTGTGTGTGTATGTTGTGTGGGATAAAAAAATTAAACCATGGGAACAGCCTGTCCAAATGATTCAGGAAGAAAAGGGGATTGAGTTTTTATGTTGACATCCTGCCCTGCCCCTCCTGTTAGATATCTCTAACTCAAGATTTACCATAAAGAACAGCCTGTTCTGGAATTTATTTCCTACTTCATTGTTTAGAATCACCATCAGAATTATTCTGAATGAAGCTGTTAGAATAATTTTCCTCTAATCTCTGTGATGAAGCTATAACTGTGCCTGCTGAGCAAAGGGATGTGACCAGACAAGAAGTCAGTCTCTCAGCCCAGGACAGTAGTCACTGACTCTTTCCTGTAATCTTCTGTAGCAGTTGGCTTCTTACACCTTGTAATTTAGTAAAAGCTAGAAGGTGTAACTCTGAATACACCACACACCTGGCACTTCATACAAACTAACCAGAGGAACAAAAATACAAACTTCTTGAGAGGCATGTAGAGCTACAACCTGTCATGCTGGGTAATGTGTTTCTGCTGAGGACTGGTCTTAAGTCAAGAGGAAAACCAGTGGTGCTTCAAAGGAAAACAAGTTCCCCACCATGACAAGACAAAAGCATGAGAAAACCAATGGAGAAGGAAAAATAAGTAAGGAGCAGGTGGGGGGGGAACAGAAATAAAACTTCACCAGAAAATGGAACTCTCCAAAAGAGAACTACTATTGTCAGCCAGGCAAGGGCAAACTTGACACGGCAGAAAATCTGTGAATTAGTCTGCATGCAAGATGCAGGCTTTCACTACCTTAACTAAAATTTGCTTTGAAATAGGCAAAGTCCATGGACATTTATATCTTTCCTGGAGCCAGCTCCATATCTTACTCCTGACCAACAGCCTACCCCCTCAGTGTGGCAGGATTTTTGTATTGTTTTAAGATCTTGCTTTAGAACTAGTGGCCAAAGAGATGCCACAAGCCATGAACAGATGTTGGGTGCATTTGTATCTTTAGCCAAGCTAAATTAAGGTTGATGTTGAAAGAATTTGGTGGAACTCATCAACAAAATCAAATGAACACATACATCCAGAGTTTATCTTCAGAGCCTCCACATCTGTGCTTCATTCCTGCCTCGTGCATTTACAAGGTTAACAGGACTTGTGACTGCTTATGGAAATGCTAATTAATTACCCTGACTACGTAACCACATCTTCCTTCTAATGCAATCCAGGCTATCAAGGAGCCCTGTGAGGCCACTCCATCCTTTTGTTATGAGGCTTCACTGCAGATGTTGCCCAGAGGCAATGAAATCTCTATGAGCCTGTCAGACCCAGAATAATCAAAGCCTCAAAATATAACATGCTGTGTTCAACTCCAATTGAAATTTTCCCCCAGCAAGTTCCAAGGGCTTTTAAAGACCAGATACTGGAATTTGTATGACACAGCCCAGCAACAGGAATAAAACACTCTTGGCCAAGATTTTGAGTCAATTGCTACCAGGATTAGTGTTTGCATGTATCCTCCTCATATTTAGAAGTCCTCTAAAGGGATAGAAAGCAGCCTTGTTTTTCTCCTTTGTTTCTCTGGCCACCTGGTTGCTTGGAGGCAGTTTTACTGGCAAATCCCAAACCTGCTTGGTTCACTGGGATCACATGGAAAGTCTCTGCCAGTTACTCATCTTGTAGTTTCTTCTTGCAGCTCTTCAGTGATGGCCTTATTATCTGAGATGATGTTTAGGCTTCCATATTTCTGAAGTTCAAAGAATATTTCAGCTGAAGGCAAAGGCCTCCCAATTTGTTTTGTTCTTGAACATGCACTAGATCTCCTTAGTATTTAAGGCCTGATCACAGTTTCAGATCTTGCCATGTTCTCAAACTACTCCCAGAAAAAAAAAAAAAAGTCTTTTGAAATGTAATTTGTTACAAGTTAAGCATGAAAAATAATTTTCTGGGTATGCAGCTGAACAGCTTGCAATTCACAAAAGCTATGGTCTGTGCCTATTCCTTGCCATGACTCATGGCCTTCAGAACTGATGTAGGTAAGGAAGATGAGTAACCCAAACCCACAATTTGGAATGCATGATAATTAAGATAAATAACTAAACATGAAATGTATGCATAACTAAAACTCATTCTCTCCTCTCACCTTTCTGCAGAGAAGCAATACAGCATGGCTTTTTGCAAGTGACCAAGTAAAAAGACAATTTACACTAACCTAGAAGAAAACAGATGGGACTCTCTCAGGCTAGAAAACAGCTACCTCCCATTGTTTAGCATTACGAACTCCTAGCATCTACATCAGTATTAATAATATAAAAATAGAAGCAAATACAGGTTTAGATTATAACAACACTATTGAGGACATAGTTTTAACTTGGGTAGAATGAGAACCTGCCAATTGTAACAGCAGTTTAACAATCCAGAAAATCAGATCTTTAACAGTGGACAATAAACCTCAACGCTCCAGTGGTTTCTGAGACAAGTAACACTTTTCCATTCTATCAGTGATCTCTAACATTTGATAAGTGGCTGAAGTCAAGACCAGGAACTGCCTGACCACAGCATGAGTGCTTGGTGCCTTTGCTGTATAGAAAGCAGAGAGCTATTTGCTCTATCTAGGTTGTATCACTTACAAAAACTACATCCACCATTTAGGGCTAGAGGAAAATCAAACACTAAATATTTTCCATCCCATATTCTGATGATCTTGCTCACTGTTTTCAGTGGTACCTAAAAATTCTTTTAATTCACACTGAGCAGGAGGTACCCAGAGAAATGGAGCAACACCTCAGAAGGAAAAGGGGATACAATGCTACACTATCTCCAGACTCCCTCAGTGCTAGAGTTACCAAGGAAAATTGGGTCAGTATTATTGGAAATTCTCAACATCTCTCCACAGGAGGGAGAACTGCCAGATTTTCTTAAGAAAGTGTCAATATTGCCTATATTCAGCAAGCTTCTTTCTGACACTGACCATCTGGTAAATTATCATCCTGCACTGAGCTTTCCTTTAGCGCTTAAGAAAACGGAAAAGTTCGAGAGAGGCGATTCCTCTCCTAGTAACATGTTGCCTCAGATTTCCTGGTGTTTTGTCAATCTGGGTCACGTCAATCTGTGGCTTTAACAGTCTATACTGAAACATGTTTGCATTGCACAACCTTTGCATGAAGTTTAAGAGATTTGGCTTTACTTAAAGTTGAAAAGCACACCAGTCATCTGGTGTGCAGTACCAGCTGTAAGGTGCTAACTTACCTGGGGCAGGAGTTGCTCTGCCCACACCCTCCTGAGGTATTTTGGAGGACTATTTCCTTTAGTTGTATTTATGCTTTCCTCAAGAGCCACATATCTTCCCTTTGTTAGCTGCTTTCAGTACACTTGATACTGTGTGTGAAGGTGCAGGCTGCAGTGCTTGCAAGCTCTTTCCCCCTGTCTTCCAATTCCATTGATTTGGGCAACTTTCTAACAAAAGCAGCTGGAACTAAAGCTTGTCATGACAGTAGTTTTGAAAAAAGAGAGGGGATTTGGTACAGTGGAGACAGCAACCTAAAAGAAAGCATTCTTTTTCATGTTGTAACTACTTACACATTGTTTCTTCCAGAAGAACACAGAGTTTGCTGCAGCACTTGCTATTGATCCTATGAAACTTAGCCTTAAAACTGACAACAGGCACAGTTAAAGTCTCAGACAAGCCCTCTACTTGCCCTTGCACAACCCAAGAGAGGTAAACAGTCTTTTGGGAGCCATCTGAAAATGGATGACACTTTTGTCTGGGTCAGTTTCCCCTTTTGGTGAGTCTGCTAGTATCAATATATCCATATGTGAAAGTGATTTTATCTCCAGTTTTCACCATTGAGGTGGGATTCCCACATCAAAGTACTCCCCTTTGCCTCAGAACTTTCAAAACATGTTTATGAGTCCACCTGCCCTACAGTAAATGCAGGGTCAGATTCAGCAAAGCACTGAGCTTTTGCTTAGCATAGAGAAAAGGACTTCTGGGTATACTTAACTTTTAGCATAAGTTTATGTGCTCTGAACTGAAGAGCTGATGAGCTTTAGCATGGGACTAATCAGCACAGGTCATCTCTTACTAAACTGAATTACATTGAAATTTTCATTGTTATCTCCCAGTGCCACACTTCACCTTCCTTGCATGGGAACGCATTCCAGGCAGACACTGGAGACCACAGCTGCACCATGTAAAAGGAAATCAAGTGCTAATAGCACAGATGGTGGAGATATACAAAATGAAAACAACTGCTAGAGTAGCCAAGTGCTTACAGCTTCACCTACACTGGCATTTGTAGCAAACTCCTCTTTACAATGGCTACTTAAAATTCAACCATAATCACAAAAATGGAAGTATTAGTCACAATTTAATAGGAAACAGCAGCACCCAAGGAGGGGAAAAGAATGTTGTTAGCTTGACTATTACACTGAGATAGTGAGCAAATTGCAAGTAAAAAAACCCCGATGCTTTTTCTAGTCAAAATTGAATTAGAAATGAAGCCATAAATCCTCCAATAAGGTAATGATTCATATTGCCCTGAACAATCCTATGCTATTAGTAGCCTCAACCAATCAGATATTCACAGATATTTATGCCTGATTTATTTCTCTCTTTCCTTTACAATATTGATACCTCAGGCACAGTGAAAACTGCAAGCAAGGCCAAGAGCACTCCCCTCTCCTTGGGGTGTAATCAGAGGCATCATGCATGATGAAACAGAGCAAACCCCACGGGCTCTGGTTACAGGGTACAGAGGGATGCTTTCACAACAGCTTTGACACTGCAGACTCAGCTGAGGATGGAGAGCAGCCCAGTCCTTCCCACAAAGGCAGAGCTCACTGCTGGCTATGGGCAGTCCAGGCAAACATGCTGAGGGACACAGAAACATTTCCATTTACAGGCACCCAGGTCCCACACCTGGGGCCTCACCAGGCTGTTGCTTGCTCTGCTAACTGCCCACCAAGCTGCTGCAAACCCACTGTGACCCCAAGTTTAACTATGGCAGTGTCAGTCTCAGCACAGGCCTTCTCTGCCTGGTCATGTTTATGATCCAAGTACAAAGTACCGGCAGACAGGAGGTAAAAAGCAGATAAACCTGAGCCAGTATGACAAGTGGTGGTCCAGCTGGGCTCTTGCCTTTCTTTTATGAGTAAAGAAAAGAGGAAAAATTTTCAAAGAACAGTAGTGAAATCTCTTATGAATATATTATTATCAAGTATAAGACTAGGGGGATAGAGAGAAAGAGGAAGGAGCTAAAATACTTTCTAATCTCCATATTAGGTTTGAAACTAAGCACTCTTGCTCTTGAAAAAGACTAAGTGTCACTTCAGCTTTTTTCACAAGATGCAGATTCTAAAGCCCAAGGCAAGCACCTCTTGCAGTCCAGTGAACCCTATTTTCTATTACACAACAACTGTTTCTTCATCTCTCCCCACAACAATATTAGAAACCTTAGGAAAAGCTTTCCATAGATAAAAGTGTCCAGGGTATCTGCTGTAAGAAAGGTGCCTGACACTCTTTACAGACTGTGTGCACTAGCTTGGCCTGCAGATGCAAAAGCCACGTGGCCACAGGACTGTACTGACCCTGCTCCACTTAGGGCAGGTATTTTAGGTCTTGCTTCCACTAACAGGTTCTACAACACCTACACACACTTTGAGTGATAGCTATTCCAGTGAAAATGTGGAGAACTTAACAGATTTGAGAGCTCAGCACTGAGCACTTATTTTCTGGAAGTTTTTCACATTAGCAATGTCAGTAGAAAAAAGAAAATATGCATCTGTATAATAAAGAAAACAATTCCATTGGGTAAGGTTCTATTCAGTTCAAAGGCCATTGCCAAATCAGTCTGCATATCAAGCATAATTAGAAAGCAGATAACATTTGAAAGTCAGAGTAGCCCAAGCATTGAGGAAAACAGCATAAATTCCTCGGTACACGTGTAAGTTGCTGTTTTTTAAAAAAAAGTTATTTCACAGAAGATGATATCATTACATCTGAGCATTTATAATGAATTTTTGCAACACCATTCAAGGTTGATGCATTGCTGCTTCTGAGTCCATTTCCAGCCCAAATTGGGAAACAAACAGAGTAACAATGTGTATATTCCAAACCTGCCACAGGTCAAGGGCAAAATATCTGCTAATGCATTTGTGATGCAAAAAGATTAAACTGATTAAATAAAAATAATTCCATCCTGAGCCTCCAATTCACAGAATGCAGCTACAGGCAAGACTGGGACATGGAAGGGGAAGTTGAGAGGAGCTTGGCCAGGCTGAGCTGACTGCTTATTCAAGTTACTGAAAGACAGCATCCCTTCTTTCTGAATATGTACTGGAAAACTGAGGCCACCCAACATTGCAAAATCAGGTTGTAGGAAACAGAACAAGACTGTGTGACTATCAGAAAAAATGCATTAGTGGCATCCACTGTGTCAAAAGGCAATCAACAATCAAGGAAACAGGAAAATTTGATTTCATATAAAAACAAGTGTCAAATGTTAATGACTGTAACCTATTGTTTGACATTGTCCTTGCTCAGAACAGCTTCATAATTTAATTCTAATGCTATTTTTTAGCCTGAGCAGTGCTTGCAGAAGCCAAAGTGTGATAGCATGTACAGTCCATCAAAAAAGTTGGTTTTCTACTGAAAATATTCTGCAGTCCTGCTTCCTACTCAGCATGTAATCTCCACTTGCAAGGGTTCCCCTTGTGCATGGGTCTCTGACCTGAAGCCCTCAGTCTTACATGGTTTGTAGGACAGAAGCTTTGGGCCTGTCTGATGAATGAAAACCATTCCAGCATCATGGAGATAAAACAAAGGCTTAATTTGAAAGCAGGAACTGTAGCTCACCTCAAGGACATCAAAATGAAGAGCAGTAGTTATTCACTGCACCACTTCATTTAACCTGTTTTAAGTACTCTCCATCCTTTCAGTATAGAACTGAAGTGTCTTTGCTGGCAATATTTACATACAGGGAATCCTAAGGCACAAAACCTCCTAAAAGGAGGGAGAAGAAAGCAAGTCTTTCTCAGTCAATCACTGCAATAGGAATGCAAAGGGAAGGAGTAGGCATTATTTAACATGAGGTGAAAGCGGCAATGTACACCATTAGCAGTGCTCCTACTAAACTTATTAGGTAGGCATCATCACACTAAGAGAAGCTTTTATTTGACTTTTACATGATTGGATAGCAGAGGTGCAGCATTATTTCACAGCAAAAACACCAGTACTGTCAAGACATTATCATTCCTAACCAGAAAGGAATTTCTGCAGGGCAATATTTACTCAGAGCAGCCAATGATCATGGGCTTAATTTAAGTAAGAGCAAGCATAGGTAAAACCTTCAGTATCCATATCCCAGTTAAGTGCTCTAATCATTAGGTCCTTGACTGCTCAGAGAGGGTTTTGACTTAGAGCTTGGAAAGGCAGTCAGCTTCAAGCTATTGTGGGCTGTCACCTCTAGAATTATGGAACACAGCAGGTAGCCCACCACAACGTCCTCTGTGACAGCAGTTACATTTACACATGGAAGTGTTCAGGAAACATTCATGGAGAGAGGTACTTTTGTTTGGAAAAAGCTTTTTAACATCGTGCAGTAGTTATGTGAAAATATATTAACAGAATAAAGGTTATGCCATTTTTTCTTATTGTAAAAAGCTTTGTAGTTTTCCTAGGCACTAACGAAACTTGACAGCTTTTTCAGAACAAAATTTTCCCAAACTAAAAGCTTTCTGTAATGGAAGAAAAAAAGTTTTTACATGCCTGGCCATGAACTCTACATTTTTTTAGGAATTTTATCCTAAAGCAAGCACCTACAGTGGATATTGAACATACAAATCTAAGCTTTCCTCTCTTCTCTGACTTCCCTTGTCCAAGGGAAGAGAGAACAAGAACAAATGAGAACCTCTAGCTAAATACATGAATTCCAGCTTCCTCTGAAGGCTAATATCAAATTTCCTTATATAGTTCTTTTTGCTTTAGACCTCTGGTTTGACCAAACAAGACAGTAAAATGGAGTTGTGATAGGAAGTTATATTCACATAAGGATGGGATTTTAAAATTGTATTCATTTTTAATAGAAATTGAGAAGAACTCAGTAACCTCTTTTAGGGAAGAAGAGTTTCTTTTTGAATCCCAGACGATTTTACTATTCACACATTACAGACTCTTATTATATCTGCAATATCATTTGATAGGACAGAAGGGGAAAACAGCATTCATGGGTCCTATTTCAAGTTCTGCCACTGATTTCCTTTTCTGACTTCAGATAATTCCTTCTATTTCTTTCTGTATCCCAAGTTTCTTCTTGTACAAGATGGATGGAAGCCAGTATTGCCTATGTGCACAGGTAACGGCAAAATAAATCCACATTAAACATGCTCTAAGGATCTGGGGGAGATAATTAGGAACTGCAAAAGGATGACAGCTTCAAACAGAATAACAATATCTTAAGATCCTTAAAATGGTAAATTATGCACTGTTAAAGCATTATCAGTTTCACTAACATTTAGAACATACCAAAGCAGAGGTTTTTCTTAATTTTTTTTTTTTCTAGCCTTGAAGAAGGTTGCTGAGTTACATGGCAGCTCTTGTTTTCCCAGGAAAACGGCGCTGGACCACTACAGCCTGGAGAAGGCGGGGTTCACACACATCCTGAACGCGGCGCACGGGCAGCGCAACGTGGACACAGGAGCGCGCTACTACAGCAGCATGGCCCTGCAGTACCACGGCGTGGAGGCTGACGACCTCCCCACCTTCGACCTCAGCCAGTTCTTCTACTCGGCTTCCAAATTCATTGATAATGCACTTCAGGATGAAAGAAGTAAGGAGGGTGCTGAAAACGGTTCCAACCAGTATAATATTTACCACAACTAATTCAAAGCATAGTTCAATCGCATTTTACCTTGCAGGAATGAAACAAGTCCAATATAGTTTACCAGAGACAATACAACTAGTAGTAGGGAACGAGTTTAAGAGAAGGCAGTGATGTATTTAGGACCCTTCCCACTAATACCACCCTAAGAGCCTCTTAGCAAGCACTTTTGTCAAAGTTCTCATCACAGCTTGTATCAAGGGGTCCTGTCTGACAGATTTTTTGTTGTTGTTTTGACTCCTTCAAAAACACATGAGACAACTGGAAATTGCTTAGGTGCCATGAATATGCTGTCTTTTCCTCCTTTTCCTAATTAGCCCCTATCAAGACAGGGTTAATAAATATTAGTTGCATAGTGGTGGGAGTAGAATACAATGGTCTCAGACATTCCATGCTATCATTCCACAGCTTCATGCTCTGCACCATTAGATTCCCTCTATAAATATAGAAACCACCCCTCCTACCTGGCCATCAGATCTACCCCAACCTGTAACATTTCTCTGCCATCTTCCAAGCAGCAGGGAACTGATACAGCTCTGACAGCAGTAAACTAGAAACATTTCATTAAAGTATTTGTAATTTCTCAGCTTGATTACTACAATTCATTATTTGCTGATCTCCAGCAGTGTTCTATCAGAAAGCTTGACACTGATGTCAAGTGCTACAGCCTAGGCCTCACACTGACTTTCAATATTACTCCTACTCCTTCCCTTCACATACTTTTAAAAAAAAATCACAGCAAGATATTTTACCAGAAACCAGTTGAGAAACTTAAAACTTTCCTGCTGACCTATAGAGACCTTAATATCAGAGGGTCAGATATCAAGTTTCTAGCCTTGTGTCAGCTTCTGTTCTTGGCTGTCTAGCTCAGCTGCAGGCAGTTACTACCTGACTTGCTTCCAATAGCCAGCCAGGTCTTTACACTTCTGCCCTTTGAACAAGTACAGACCACACAACAGTTCCTTCCCTTGCTCAGGAGAAAACCTTGAAAGCAGATCAGTTTTAAAAATCAAAGTCCTAATAGCAGGAGAAACTGCTTCAGGAGCTTACTTGCTTATGAAGAAAGATAGCCAGCATTTTAAAAAAGCGTGTCTGGAGCAGTGCCTTTGGAAAGGAGAGGATAACTAGCACACACCCGTGTCTAGCCATGGCTGGAGGCCAGAGGTCAGTGTCAGACTGGAGTAGGTGGAATAAGAAATGCAGACTTCTTCATTCCCACCATCCTCCTGTTCCCATAAGACTTTAGTCTGCTGCATTGAGGTAAAGAAACAAGCACAAGGGAAGCAGCAAGGGCAAGAAAAAAAGCCTTGCTTCCCAATAAATGTTGTAGGAGGAAAGGATGAGATAGGGGGGATATTAACCTTTTTGTTTCAAAACCACATCAAAGTCCACGAAGTCCTGAGACAGTAGCAAGCATCAGCCCAGCACTGGAAAACAAAATCAAATTGGAGTGACTGGGTGAACAAACAAAACAAAAAAATCTGCACTCAAGTAGATACTACAAATGGCAGTGATTTCTGTAGCTGTGGTCACTTCTGCCATATTCAAATGGCTTTTAAACAAGTTAACGAGGATCTGTTCTGATGAAGACCTACCGTAACACTCATGAAAAAAAAGAGCAAACTCAGCTTTCTCATGAGAGAAAAGTAAGATGTGTGTATGTACACCTCTTATCCCAGCAGATGTCCAAAGACACGATGCATGGCCCAGGATGACACAGGTTTAAAGCTTGACAGTAACTTCCCAATACACATTTACAGAATAGAATGACTCCAAGAAGCTAAAGTGTGGACTGATGCCTCCTATGGAAGAAAAGACCAGAGGTACCCAGGGCTCTCCTCCAACAACATACATGTGTTATTTGTGAATGCACACCTAGTGCAGAAAGGTGTTCTGCATTTCAAGTGCCAAATGAACAGGCAATGAAGGTGCACTTGTGTGCTCCTTCCTGATTGACAAAGAGCATCCAGATTCCTAAACAGGATTTTGGATGAAGTAACCAAGCACCTGTCTCCAGTGGTAATGACATGGAACTTCAGTGTGTGGTGCTCAATACTTCTGATCAGTAACAGCTTTGCATTGCTTTGCTGCTTTGTATTAGAGCTGAGCAAACACAGAGAGGGAAAGGGGGAGAAAGGAAAAAGCCTCAGCTTGTGTGACCAGAATCTGCGTGTTGATGAATTTGCTCTGGCTGTATCTGGGGTATGACCTTCAGCCAAACGATCACATTCATTGAATAGATGTCTTTAGATAATGATTTTTGCGAGGAAGAGGCTCAATAGTCAATGCTGTTGAAACAAATTGTCATTCTAATGAAGAAGGCCCTCTCTGAAACAGACCAGAAAGCCTGGCACTTCGGATGCTGTCAAAACAGTCCTAATTCTGACTTAACATTTAAAATCTTCATGATGATAAAGAAACTCCCTGATCAGAACAGTATTTGTAGGGTTTAAGCATGGGCTGATGGACATAAGAGCAGTTATAAGGGTAAGATTTAGAGGCAAACTCTAATGAGTGCCAATTATGCATGCTGTCATTCAGATGGGCAGAAAGCTTTCTCAAAACATGCAATTCAGACCATAGAACAGCTCAAAATATTTATCAGTGAGGCCTGTATAACATGAAAAGAAGACATTATTTTAAGATTTTTTTTTAGGTTTCCTACTACGCTACAGATTTAATATTCATTACCTTGAAATTTTAGTTCCTCAAAATGTAGAATAAAGGGGAATGGCATTTTCACTTCATGTTAAAATATCTGGGGAAAATACACAAAAGACAGATTTTAAAACAAAGTGGGAAGAAACATATGAGAAAATGACAGAGACCTGAGGCTTTTGAGCAAAGACCTCAACATTCAAGGCTCCAAATGATTCTGGAAAAATAGTACTGCATCTAGACAAATTTTCATGAAACACAAACCCAAGTCAAGTGAACAAAGTATTTCAGAGATCTGTCACCACTCAGCAGACCTCTGTCTCTGTGCACTGATGCTGCATATTCTGGCACACCTTGAAGATATAAGTGGTCAGAATCCAAGACATTCCTTTCGGGGAATGAGGGTTCAGAGTGGTCCTTATATTAGAATGGAAGAGACTACAAAATAGTACAGAAGGGACGTGGCTCTGCAGAAGAGTCTCAGTGTTCTGCTGTAACAGGCAGTTGGCTCTTGACTATTCACACAGAGCAAGGACAAACTTCCTTTTCTGCAAACCAGTGGACATTTCAGAAGATTGTACAGCCATTTTTTGCCTTTGTTAACACAATACAAAACTGTATTTTCTCCTAGATCTCCTCCATTTGCCACCCACACAAAGCAAAGTGCTCCTTGTCCCATCACCTATTTTACCACCTCAACAGTAACAGATTTACAAGATGGGAAGCTCTAAAGAGAAGCACTGAACGGCTAAACAAATGTGGCTTTTCATCCACTTTAAATATTTGCAGTAATAATAGAATGGATTATCATTTTCCAGGAGAGGAAGAGGCACTTTTAGTTATCAGAAGGACTGGAACTTTGCCAAGATGCCTCAAAGACTGTCTGCTGGAATTAGGATGCAGACTGTAACCATTAATCCTTTAGTGTTGGCAGTTCTTGATGCATCCATTACACAGCAATGCTGGTTGTGCCAAGGCATCCTCTTGTGCCTGGAAGCAAAGGAGTTAATCTGCAGGAGCCATGGCTTTGCACCCAGCACTTCTCACTAGGCATAGCTGACAGAGATAAACTATTATTGGCCCTGATAGCACAGTTTTTATTTTTTTCTCCTGTGGCAATTCTGCTTAGCAGGGTGTTAGAGAGTGTGCTCCAAATCTACTTCCTTCAGCAGTTCAACCTTTTGTGAGAACCCCTCGAGGGCTTTGAATCATTTTTGGAAATCTTTTGAAGTGTTTCAAAACCTGTCAATCAGACCTGAACCCACTTACTGTTCTCTTCCTCCACCTCCCCCAGATACCGCTAACAGGGAAGGCTCCACAAGGCTTCCAACCTTGTTACTATCCAAAGCCAATGACTTCCTGCCTCTGGAAGTCCCAAGCTAAGCCAAACAGTGTCACAGAGTTAAACTGCAGCATGTTTATTTGGAGGTGAAAACTCTTGGCAGAGACTCTGCACTCACAGGGGATGAGACAGGCTCCTACTGCAGGGAGATGATCGTATTAGAACACTCACATGATGGTGGTGGTGAAACATCACTTGCATTCAACACAACAGGGTGCTAGCCAGAAATTTCTACAGCAGCTTTTCTATAGAGTAAGAAGTGGTTTCTTTCCAACTCCTGGAAAGAAGTTATATGCCTGGCCTTTTTTATTGTCTGCCCTCAAAAACTGGCAAAAAGTCCCCAGGCCTCCTCTGCAAGCTTTGTCCACAAATAAAAAGATATTTGGTGTAGAATTATTTTGTTATCTTATTGCAGGCACTCCATACATTCCATAGGTTCCCTCCTATCACAAAAGTTCTATACCTTCTTGACATTTCTCATGGGCAGCTCCTCAGAGCACTGACTCTTTCTTCTTCACAAAGCAGCCACTGACTCCAGTTCCCCTCTCACCCAGCCACCCCACTCTTTTATAGCATCTTCTTCTCATTGGTTACAGTTGTGGCCTGTTAAAGTCAGGCCTGCTTCTAATCTTTGATAATTGGCCCAGCTGCAACTCCTTAGGGGTAAGATTACCTTCTACACTATCTTTATTTTCTTATATTCTATCCCCCTACAGAATTAAATGGATCATCCCTACTGTAGATGGTGTTCAGTTGTAAGATTTTTCATACGAGGGAAAACTGAGGCTGTAGAGAGGCTTACTGAGTGCTGGTGAGGGGAGTCAGACACCAACCAGAGCAGGGGCACTACAGAAACCTTCGCTGCCAAGAGGAAAGCGGCACCCCGTGTCAGCTGTGACGTTTGCCTCTGTGTTTCCACAGGCAAGGTGCTGGTTCACTGCGCCATGGGCCGCAGCCGCTCTGCCACGCTGGTCCTGGCTTACCTGATGATCCACAAGAACATGACGGTGGTGGATGCCATCGAGCAGGTGGCAAGGCACCGCTGCATCATGCCAAACAGGGGCTTCCTGAAGCAGCTGAGAGAGCTGGACATAGAGCTGGCACTGCAGAGGAGGAACAGCAAGAACAGCCTAGCACCTGCTGAGCAGCAGAACAGCACCACCATCTAGCACTGCCCTGGCACAGCTGTGCTGCTGGAAAAGAAAAGAAACTCTGTAAAAGGAGGGGAGGGGGAAGTGTAGTTAATTACAGAGTCACAGGGATCATTTGTTATTTGCTAGGGAAAAAACCCAAAGTCATTTCAAATACAATGTCAAGATGAGAAAGAAGGGAAGCCAAACTTAAAATTCATCATCTTAGAAAGTTCCAGCCTTAGCAGAATTCTTTGTTACATCAACAAATAAGTTTTTCTCTCTGCAAAAAAACATCAAACATTTACAACACAAAAGCAAGCACAACTAAAAACTCTCTTCTAGCTAAGTACTCCCAAAATTGTGATCCTAACTCAAGTCCCCAGCCTTTAAAGTAGTGCAGATAGGCACTCCTGAAGCAATCTTGCAGGAAAAACACTGAATTGTTTAGTCCGGAGTCTTGAATGGTTTCACAGGAGTTTGCCTTTTTGTGCTGTTTTCTGGCAATTTTATTTCTTTTTTCACAGTGATAACCCAGAGCAGCACAGCAGTTAGAGAGTCTCTACATGAAGGATCAACTACACCATGAGCATTTGCTTTACAGAGAGGAATTCTGTATCAAATGATAAACTAAAAGATAAATATCTGTGAGGATTTCCCTTTGTCAAGCTACAGTTGTCTTCTTTCTTGTATCCTGCATGAGAGCTTGATGACTGCTGTAAGTGAAAGAGGATTTGTCATCGATTCACATGCATAATTGATGACCCTCAGCACTACAGAAAATTGCCAGGGCCATTCCTTCCATTTACCATGCTGATATAAATGGAGTTTGTTTCCATCAACCACCCTGCCAGATGGACAAATTAAACAGCTTATAAAACTGAGACACATAGACAGTGATCTAAAGTGGAAGATTAGTACCTTTAGCAGTCCTTCATTTCTGCTTGTATGAGAGATTCTTACACTGTTAGTAAAAAACTGGGTGCATTTGCCCACTGCTGGGGGATCAGGCAGCCTGAGCATAACAACACTTACCATTCCTGTCTTTGCTAAGGGCTGAGTGCAGCTTCCAGGAGAACTGGCATTTGGCAGCTTCCACATGAACTATGTCCTGCTCCAAAGACAAGGATCTTTCCTAGAACCAGGTCTTGCCTGAAGGACTCTGCTGGCACAGCTGTGCCAATTAAACACCTCTGAAGTAAACATACTTTTCATTTACTTCCCAGCTTTTTTTTTTTTTGCCTACTGTTCTCTCAGAATTATTGAGAGTAAATCAGAAAAGCAGAACTTCTGGAACACATGACTTCCACAAAGTGAGGCAGCTCTTGCAAGCTGCTGATTCACAAGTGTCAGCAGCACCGACTCCGCTCCAAGCCAGCTCTGCAGGAAACACACACTGAACAGGGCAAGTTGATTTCCTTCTTGCCAGCCACCAGTGGCATGGAGCATTCTGTGAGAGTGCATGGCCAAAGAGCCTCTTGCCTTTCACAAGAATCACCTGTTGCAATTCTGTGAAGAATTTTTTGAAGACAGTAAAAGCAAGAGCTCATTCCCCTGCGGGACAGTGCTAGAGGACACAGTCAAAACTGACACTGCAAGGTGCATACAAGATAGAGAACAAGTACATCTGCCAAGGAAAAAACAACCTTCTTATTTATCAGAAATTTTGGTGCCATAATGCAATTCACAGCTAAACAGGCGCTATGGGGAAAGATGTAGCATAGTTCCTTGTCCTCCTGAAAGGAATTCAATTCTGAAATAACAAGATTATAATGGAAACTTGCCTGCTGTGCACACACTATGCATCATTTCCCAACCAACTCTTAACCCATATATTGTAAATACAGAATTTTAGCAATATGCTGGAGTCAGAATGCTGTTTCAGGCTAGCAAATATCTGAAATGTTAAGAATGTTTGATTTGCTTGTATGTTACTGGCTTCAAAACTTGAAACTGAACAGCAGCAGATAGACCCAGATGCCTTTTTCACTCACTGTAAGAACACACAAATGAAAAATCACAAGACATAAAGCTAGACACACCTGAAGGCTGCACATAACTGCATCAAGTTCCACTTTTCTTAAGCATAAAGAGGTGAGTTACTTTGTAAAGATGAAAACAAGTTTAAGTACTATGAATACTCTCTGCCTTCAATCAACAAATTTAACAATGTAAGGGCATGAACCAAGATCCTTCTTGTCTGGTGCTCTCCTTATCAGGTGTTCTGAACTCCTAAAACTCAAGTTATTCCAGATCACAATTTTCAGCAATTTTAGCTCTCATTCAGATTCACTATTTTAGACTGCTGCTCCATTGTACTAAAACTACAACAGGTCATGCACATTAATCTGTACTATCAATTTCTTCATTTGGCACCACCACACAGTAATGGTTTTATTTAAAGAAATACACATTTCTTTGACTTTAAGATATATGAAATATTACCTTTAAAGCTGCTTTATATACTGGAATGGGGAAAGTTTCAGTCAAGATGGCCACTCTTTTTAGCTTAACTAGTAACCTTACTGCAGTGAGAGTGGCAACATTCACATTAGAAGCATTCTGAACAATTACTACAGGGACTTTTTCTGGTATAGGTTCACACATCCCACACTTGAATTTGTCCACTCAGGAGATCACATAGAGACAGCCGTCTTGTCTTTAACAGACCTTCTGTTGCTACATGAGAAATGCTCATCTGTGTGTATGTTTGTGTGTGCCCACATACATGCATATACACAGAACCCATATATTTAATGCAGAATTTGCATCATCTTGTCACCCAGCAACAATGACAATGGAAGAGGTTACAATTCTATCATTAAAATACAGTTCAAACACCATGTCTGTTACTATCATATATCCTTTTATATAGATATATAGATATATATTCACACCTTCTATAGGAAAGAAGTTTCATACATTAAATATTGACAACCTTGTAAGGTATTAAATACATATTTATTCAATATTTTATTAAGATTATTAAAAAAAATAATCTTAGGTATTCTTTATTTTCACAGGGTGTATGCAATTATGATGAGTAACCTACACTTAAGCTCTAAACAGCCTAATCCAAACCCCACCGACTGTCATGGGCTTTAGATCAAGCACATGAGAGCACTGTAACAAACACTGTTTCAGGAGGTAATTCCCATGCAACATCAAACTATGACAAGACACAAGAGGCTAAAAATGGCTCATCATAATTTATTTTATGTTAAAATGTACAGCTTGGGAGGGGGGGTGTAGTTTTTTGCAGTTTTTATTTTTGTTGCTTGGGTGGGTCTTTTGTGGGTATTTTTTTAAGTGACTGACTAAAAAGATAACAGATAAATACAAGAGTGTCACTGGGTCCTATTTTTACATGTATCAAGCCTCTTCTGTTCGGCCCTTACAGTCACTCTGTACAGGTACAAAGGCTACAAAAAAGGAAGCAATATAAACAGACACAAATAACTTTTGCCTTTTTACATGCGATCTGTAAGCTTAGTTTGAGCTATTCACACGCTACTGCTCTATTTTTTCCCTTAAAAAATAACTCCAATATTTTATAAAGATAGAAAAATCTACAGATGGAATGAAAATGTAAAGTTAGAGGCATTTCCATAAAATAGCAACTTTACACCAAATTCACTACTTTTTTTTTTAAATCCTGCCAAGTATTTGGACATATACGAAAATGTTTCAAAACTTGACAAATAAACACTGAGATGTTTCAATCAACAAAAAAACGTAAGTTTTTATAAAACAGAAAGCTGCCTTTTTTCCTACCCAGCCCCAAAGAAACTGGTCACAAAAATGGAAAAGAGTCTCAACTTTACACTAAACATACAGCAATAAAACCCTTTGAACTAACCAAAATGTGAATAGCTTTTGCAGCTTTTTTTTTATTATTTTTACAAGTTTTATAATTAACAAAAATATAGTTCTGGTTTTTTTACCCCTCAAACTAGGGTAACCTAATCAAGGCAAAAAAATTAAGAAATGGCTTACTGTTAAGCACAACACTTGTACAGTACTACAAAATGCACTGTCACTAACAAAGACATTAGCGGCATGCAGAAGTGTCACCTTCAGAAACAAAATAATACAATAAAAGAACTGCTAAAAGGCATTTACATGTGGGGAAAGGAGAGAGAAAAAGCTCATGATCCAGTATTGTCTGATAATTTTGGAGTCTATTTATCCACATTTTTAATGGGAGCAGGCACATAAAATGGCTCTGAACCATCAGCTGCTGTGTAATTGCAGTTCATAGAAAGAGTTCTTCCTTTCCAGAGAACTTCAAGCTCAGTGAAATAAACAAAAAATGGAAAACCACCTAATTTCCCCCAAAGAGAAGTTAAATCTCACAATGTTAAAAGAATAAACAAAAAACCCCAAAACAGAACAAAACAAAACCAAAGGAAAAAAAAAAAAACAAAAAACCCAACAAAGCATGAAATAAAGAAAAACTTGTATAAGGCTTTCTGCTGCATACAGCTTTTAAATGGTGCCAACAAATGTTTTTGCATTCACACCAATTGCTGGTTTTGAAATCGTACTCTCCGAAGGTATTTGTGCAGATCAATGCCATACGCCAGTTGGGTAGCGTGTCTCTGCCAGGGCCTACCTCCTCATGTAGGAGCCATTGAGAGACTGCTTGGACATGCCTGTGTTCATGTAGCTGTGGTGGCCCGGGGGAGTGTACATCATGTTACTGTGGGGGGCTGTCTGCATTGGCTGCTGTGCATATGGCTGAGTTCCCATCATTCCCATCTGCATCTGCATAGGGTACTGAGGGGTTTGATTCATATACCCATGATTACTGTGATACCCACTATTCATCATTGGCTGGGACATACTGTAACCATTCATGGCGTTAAGGGTGTTCATGTTCATGTTCACTGAATTGACATTATAAGCAGGGGCTGGCATCAAATTTACACTCATGTTCATGCCACGCTGCATCGTTAAGGTCCGTGTGGGCCCTTGCATGGCCACAGTCTGCGATGCTCGCCCATAAATCTGGGGCTGATGGGCTGCAGCAGCAGGTGGCAGAGGTGTGGATTTGGTTCTTACAGAGACATGACCTTTGCTGGCCATCTGAGTCTGCAGTCTTTGGGTGTGGGATATTCCAATATTCGATGAAGTCATATTACGCTGCAAAAGGGGAGGTGGCAAATTCATAGGAGGAGGAGTAAGGTTGGGGGGAGGAGTCATGGTAGCCTGTGCTTGGGGTCCTCCAGGAACAGCGTGTGGAGACTGAGAAAGCTGAACAAGCCCCGTGTTACTTAAGGGGGCAGACAAAGAGGCACTGTTTGCATAGGAAGTTACAGCAGCTGAATGGCTGTAAGGCAAAGAATGATCCATAAGCGTGTTAGTTAACTGTTGCAGTTTAGCAAGGCTGAAGGTGGCAGATGGCTGTGAGTAATGCCCTGCTCCAAATTCACTCTGCCCCATTCTTTCATATAATCCAATGTTGGCATTGCTAGTCTCAGGGATTTCAGTCAACTGCATAGGTGGGGTGAAATTAGCAGCCATGCTGCACTGGGATAACTGTTGGTTGCTGCTTGGAGGCCTTTCAACAACACAACCTTGGGGAGATTTTACATTACAAGTGGGAGGAGAATTGATGTTTGCTTGTTGCATCATACTGCAGCTTCCATTAATGTTAGATATCTGCTGGGTCACTGCGCAGCTACTCTGTGTTAGGTTACTAGATGTAAGGCTGCTGTACGAGCAACTGTTTTGAGAAGAGTTGTTTCCACAGATACTGCTACCCATCGTAGAATCGTAACTGCTTGGGTTTTCATAGTTTTCTGTTGTGCTCTCAATACTTCCTAAGTCACTGAACCCACTATCCACAACTTGCTGTGAATGATCAGAAACTGAGGGAACATCCATCATTGGGCTGGTCTCCATGTTCTGCAGAGATGGCACAGAAATGGCACTTTGATCTGGGCTGATCTGAGCATAGCTGTTCTCTAAAGGAGCAACATTTGGACTATTAACAGAACGAACTGACTGGCTGGGATGAGAGTGCACAGATGAAACTGGGCTGCTGTGATCAGACTGCTGACAGTCATCCAGTGTGGTCATCTGGGGACTTTGGTCATTGGGGGCATAGTTCTGCAAACTTCTACAGGCCTCTTGAGTCTCTGCACAGTCCTGAAATGTATCTTCATGTTCACTTGTTTCCTGGGTTAGGGACTGTACTGCCTGAACGGTCTCTGAGTCAATCTCCATGGTCTCAGTACTTTCTCCCTTGAAATCGGAATGTAGTTCTTCACCAGCTTTTTGGTCCTGGTTGTTGTCTGCATGATCATCATCAGATTCAGGCACGGGGTCTGAATCTGTAGCAAGTTCTTTCTGGTCACTTGCACATTCATCAGCTGCAAGGTCAACACCACAATCCATTAACTCCTCCTGATTTGAATTACCAGTTTGAACATTTACGTCTAAAAAAGATTGCTGAGTTTCCAGCATTTCTTTGAAGGCTTCACCAGGCAATTCCTCTTTCTCCACTTCTGTTGAACCCATGTGACTATCATCTTCATCATCTGCATCATGATCTTCATTGTGAGAAGGTTCTTCATCCTCCTCCTCCTCTTCCTCCTGATCCTCCAAATGCACAGACTCCTCTTTCTGCACAAAAACTTCTTTTGCTTCATCTTTTTCTTGATCTTTTGAATTGCTTCCATCTTCCTCTATGCTCCTTTCTTCTTCCCCAGCTTTCATAGTATCATTTTCTT